GAAGGTCAACTGCGGGTCTTTGTGGACCTCCTCTTTCAACTCTCTTCTTAGGATCGGGGTTGCCAGCCCCTCAATGAAATGGTCCCTCAGTAGGCGCACATCAATGTCAGGTGTTTTGACCTTTACCGAATCAAAGGCCCTGTTCATCCGGTGTGAGTACTCCATCACACTCTCCGCCAATCTCTGCCTCAAGCCTACGAACCCTGCTAGCAGTTGCGATCCCGACCGTCTCTCCCCAAAGGTCTCCATAATCAGATCCAGCACCTTATCCGGATCTGATTGGATGGTTTTATCGTGGCATTTGACCTCTGCCCTAACCGTCTCTCCTATACTGCCCATCAGTAGTCTTAATCTTTCCTCTGGTGACATACCTCTCGAGGCCCAGGCCGCTTTGACCTCTTCACTGAACCTGTTGGTTAAAGTTGGATCCCCGTCCCCGTAAAATTTGTTAATGTGGGACTCTCTGGGTAGGACCACTATATGGGTCTGCTTCTCGTCCAGAGTAGACATTTTATTCCGTAAGTAAAACAAAAGAGTTCTTTCTTACCGTGTGTGTATGAAAAAATTTTCCTCGTTCCTCAATTTTCACAGTTCCTGAATGTCCGAATTCACACACACACTAAACACAGTTATGCACAAGGTTGACTATGGGTGCCTAAAGCGGCAAGTCTAGTTGAATTCATCCTGTCCGACGACGCCAATTGTAACGAGCGAACAGTTACCCTGCTCGCTGCGCCAAATGTGACCTTCCCCGAGTCTATCCTGCCCGACAACGCCAATTGTAACGAGTTGAACCACTCATGCTACACAACATCGACTACAGTAGAAAGACTCGAAGATGCAGGTTCGCTATTGATCCTTTTATTACATGAATCAAGAAATGCTTCAATATAACACAATGAATCAACAGGAATGTTTCACAATAATAGTCTGAATCAACTGACCCCTAACAGTCCTCACTAGGCTTCATGTAACGGAATCCACATGTCTATTGTCCTTCTTAACACAATATAACCAACTTGATATGTCACACAGACTGACTGATCTAAAGCGAGCGATGAAGATGGAAGAGCTATCGAAAGAGAGCGAGCTTCGCCGTCCCCTCCTATTTATCCCTTGTATCCGTACTCGTCTTCGTACTTGTATTCCTCCGTAATCGATACTTGTACTCGATGTCTCCGACCACTAGTTGCGCAGTTCTAATCGTACAGTCCGTGAAATAACATCTGCATCCTATCAATCAAAGTTGACAGGCCGTCTGAATCCCCTCGTACCGTTTCCCAAAATAGCACGCGTTGGCTTTGAGATTGTTATCAGTCCGATCCAATAAGCCACCTGCTATGTTGCGTCAGACTGTAATACTGCGTCTCGGCTTATCGTTCGTTATCAGATTTGTAACTAGTAGCTAGGCCTACCCTAGTTACATATATATATATATATATATATATATATATATATGTGTGTATGTATATATATGTATATATATATATATATATATATATATATATATATATATATATATATATATATATGTACTTTTATGTATATATATATAGGCCTATATATATATACACACATAGAACTATCAGGCATGCAATGAGTTCCATTTATATTCGGACCAGAATAATTAAATATTTATTAAAACTTTAATTACCGATGAAGACCAATTATCAAAAAATTGATTCGTTTGTTACATTGAGACGTCTCTGAGTCAACTCAGCCATGATGGGTACCTGACTTTACTCATGCCAGGGAAAGTAAATGCGGCTAAGCATAGAATCCACTAAACTACTCCTTCAAATGTCGTGGTGACAAGAACAGGTAAACTATTTCATCTGCATCTACTGACCAGCATATCCAAAAAAATAACTAACTAGCTTAAGTTACTACTGTTTCAGTTATTCATTGATTAGTCTCTGTGTTACGCCCAAGCCAGTAAACATACCAGAACAGCCACTAGCAATTTTTTTTATCAATAGGTTGTATTGTTTTTTTTTTGTTTTATTGACATGCAGGTGAACGCATGTTTGCTTCAAGCCAGCGCGGGCGTAATCGATATCAGTAGGTTAAGTGGACGATACTGTGTTGTGTATTCAAGTCCGAGTGTAAACTGATAACTAAGTTGCTATTTCAAATGTCAGCAGGGCTATATGTATTGTCAGCAGAGGCGTAGCGAGGGGAGGGGGCGGGTACATATGTCCCCGGGCGCCAACCCTAGGGGGGGGGGGGGCGCCAAAATGGGTTTGAGAAAAAAAAATTAAAAGCTCATTTTAGCTGCAGTTTTGCATTATAAATATAAAAATATATGAGGGGGTGGTGGGCGCCAAATTGAAAGTTTGTCCCCAGGCGCCGGAAAGGGTCGCTACGCCTCTGATTGTCAGTGATGGTATATGTCATGTCAGTACCGATAACTGGTGTTGTCTCTGTTTTGTCGACAGCCGTCATGTATTGTGACAAGGACCTTACACTTGGTGTGCCATAAAAGGTTCGCTTTAATCGATTAAAAAAACGTATATGACTTGTTCATAATGATAGTTTTCTGAGATAGCTCATTTTGTTTTCACAAAAAAATTCTCTGATTACCAGAAAACCGAACAATATAAGAACACGAGTTTAATTGATGTAGAAAGACAATCCACAATTACTGGTTAATAAAAGACGTTCCAAATAAAAAACAAATAGGTATTTGCTTCCGAAACAATATGATCTAACTTATAATATGTAGTGCCGAACACCCATTTTGCCGCATATGTTGTATCGAACATCCATTTAGACGCACAATATCCCGTCACGTACGCCCTTTTTTCAACAAAATATGCCGTGTCAAACGCCCATTTTGCCGCAATACGCCGTGCCGGACGCCCATTTTGCCGCACAATGTCATGTCGAAAGACCATTTTGCCGCACCATTAAATATTTTCCAATGTCCATCGACTTATTGATTTTTTTGTTCCAGCTGAGCACTTATACAGGGACTCTCAAATTGTGGCCATCAAACTAGTGTCTCGATTCCGTGTTGACAGAGTGTGCGGTGGTGGGTTGGCGTAACATGAGTTACTTTTTTCTGCATGGAGGCTATAGCCGCTGAACAAATCAATTATAATAAACATGCGTTATTAAATTTTTCTGATCTACCAGAAGCTGTCATATGTAGACACGTTGCTTAACGGACCCATGCACTTAAAATAGTTTTAAGAAAAGTTTTAAACATTATTTTAAGAAACATAGTTCTCAGTGCCCATGAGCAGTAAAAAGATTGATATAGGCCTACTCGTCCTTTTAAACAAATGATTAAAATTACATTTTTATGAAGATCTACGTGCTACTAAATTAGCATTAGGTTGAGTTGTTAACGGCTGTACTGGTTCGGCATTGGTTAAGTCTAAGCGTTAAAGTACTTTTTAAAAATAATTTTTAAGTTCAAGATAGAAAATTTATTTTTTCAAACGACTTGACAAAATACACTTTAAACGTTATATTTATTCAGAAGTGCCATGGAAAATCCATACTTCTTTTAATATCTCTTCAATGGCGTTGTCATGTGTGAATATCGAAGGGAGATGATTCCTATATTGCTACCAAGGTAGTGAAAGTTATTTCCCTTTACTTGGAAAAAACAAGCAAGAAAGTACATCAGATTATATTCCAGACTATTTCCCAAAAGAATCGTAATTGCTAAAAGCATTGTAACTAGAAAAAGGGGAAACTAATAATACAGGAAGAAACTTGTAATAGACAAATGGAAGTTTTAAAGTTTCTTGAGAGGATGTTGGCTTAGGGCACACACATTGAAAAAATATCACTGTATCTATGGATTAGTTAGTATGGATCCTGTTATTAGTAATAACGTAGGTTACTACTTCAGGTACTTAATAAGTAATGATAGAGTGAGTAGAGTAGCCAGAGAGTTAGCCAGTAGCCACAGAGAGATCACAGTAGCCCTACAGAGAACAAAGTGAACAATTGAACGCTTTTGTAATTGTACGTGTTTGCAAAAAACTTACATGTAACTTACATGTTAACTGACAAGGTCAACATTTGTCAATAAAAAAACAAATAACAAAACAGTTATCGACTTACAAGGTCAACATCAGTAAATACCAAACAACAACACAGTTATCAACTGACAAGATCAACATAAATCAATAAAAAACAATCAACAACACAGTTATCTGCTGACAAGGTCAATATTACTCAATAGAAAACAAACTTCACAATTCAAAAAACATTACATGGAAATAAATAAATTTATTTTATACAATTCTTGTTTTCCAAACTTCAAGGAAAAATAATAGCTCATCTGTGTGCTAGCTAGAAAAAATATTACAATCAAAAACAAATTTAATTCCGCTATGAGTACACAGTGTGTTATTTACCGAGGAACTAAGTACTTTATCATAGTAGATTAATTTGTTTACACAAACTTCACTTTTACTTAATTAGAAAGAATGGATAAAAACCTTATTAAAAGGGTATTGCCTAATGGTTACAGTATTGTACTGCAAATTAAAGAACAAACAACCCAACTTTTTTAAAGATTAAAATGTATGTACCATCATACTTATCTTTATTATCTTAATATATATCACAAAATGACCAATGAGTAATATTAAGATTGGTAAATAAACTAATTGGTTTATAATCCAATGCTGATGATTTCTGGAGCTGCTACAGAATGTACCGGTGGGTTGAACAAGTTTTAAATAGGATAAATTAAGTGGTCTACGTCTTATAATAGGAGTTTAACTCAGGGGCTTAGCGACCCTTCCCAGCACCTGGGGACAAACTTTTCAATTTGCACCCCCCCCCTCAAACTTTTGATTTGCACCCCCTCAACCTTTCAATTTATTATTTATTTTTCCAACCCATTTTGGCGCCCCCTACAGTCGGCACCCAGGGACATATGTCCCCCCCCCCCCCCCCCCCCCCTATGCTACTGGTTTAACTGCCTGCAGGCTTTCACAACATGGATACCTAGACAGGCAATTAGTTAAGCCGTTAATTGTTATTGACTTATTTTATAAGACATCTTTAACAGTCTCAATGAATTGTGATAAAATGTATTCTCATTTGATTTATCAATACCAAATAATGGTATATTAAATAAAGGAGTACGATTAAGTAATATAAGAGTTACCTCTCACTGTTTTAAACCTCAACATTATATGGCTGAAATAAAATATGTATATAAGTTTACCCTTGATGATAGCTTCAATGTAGTAAATAAACAAAACAATAACATTACAATATTATTACTTCAGCATTAAGAATCTTTGCAGAAGTCAAATTTAAGAACAACTTCTAATCCATTAGGTCCGCACTTTGTTAAAAGTTTTAATCCACTGGCTGGTATCATTGTGCCCTCGGGGAAATAGTTGCCGAACTTGAACTCAGACGGCGGGGACTCGCTGCTCTTTGCCGTGTCCGACCTAGCCTGGGGTAGGGATGGATTAACACATGGGATATCACTGATTGTAATCCTCCGGGAATTGTTTTCTTCTTTAATCTCAAGCACCTGGTTAGTCACCTGCATGCCGTGGTCGCTTTTGAAGTAGTAGATACCACTTTTAGTGACCATGTTGATTCTCTCCGAGTCAAGAAGTGACGCCGGGGGTGGGATGGGCTCAGAGCTAGAGGAGGTGGTGGGAAAAGATTTTGATTTAAGAGCAGATATGTACGGAGTCAAGTGCTGGAGCTGTTTTCTTTTAAGATAATGTGAGATTTGATTTCTTTTCAGTCTTAAGCCAGGTCTAGACCTGGTTGACTTTTTGAAATTCTGTTTTGGTACTTTACATGGAATAGCTGAAGAGTTTGAAATTTCGTTTTGGAAATTCTGTTTTGTGGGAATATAATCTGAAGAACAAGCCAAAGATATTTTAGAATTAAGATTCGAATCTGAAGTATCAGAATATGGTAATGAGCAGTCAGTTTGGTTATTCATAGATTCTAATGTATTTTTACATAGAATTTTAACACTCGTTGATGGTTGATTGTTCAAGGATGTTGTAGATCCGTGTTTAATGGTGTTGGATAAAATGGGTTCAGTGCCAGTGAGTGAGTCTGCACTGTCCTCTGTGTCCACAACAGGCTCTGTGTGCATGTGAGTACTGGCAGTGTTGTCACCCCTGACCTGTCTGATACTACCATTCTTACCTGGTGTTAGTGTGACCGTCCCTACGTGGGACTGTACCCCCACCTGGCTCAAATCTGCACAGTCATCATGATTATCATTCTCACCTGGTGCACTATCTGAAGACAGGTCATTTATGTTGCCTCTTTTACTTTTAGGTGTAATGTGGGCTATCCCACCAGGTGTGATTCCTTCTTTTTTACAATCCTCTAACACAAAGTCATGTCCTAATACTAATGATGATTTACTGTCATGGATCACTTTACTAGATAAAAGTGTGTTCTCATCTAAATCCTCGTGTTCAAGATCAGCCTCTTCCACTAAATCATCATTAGAAATTACTTCTTGTTTAATAGATACATCACTTGCATCATACTCATTTGAACATCCTGCTGTGTCACATTCATTAGAACAACCAGTTGCGTCATAATCATTACAACAACTCGTTGCATTATATTCATCTGTCGCATTGAATTCGTTAGAACAATTATACCCCTCATCTTCAGTGGGGTCAGTGACTTCACTTTTAATAAAAGTTACTGGCAAATCATCAACTAAATCTTCATTTATTTCTTCTTTTATCTGCCTGCCAATAAAATGTGATTTCTCAGTTTCTGGATTTGTCGTTTCTTCACCAGGCTCCAGCTTTGGTATTTTAGACTGTAGAGCTGGCTCGTCATTTAAATCCTGACCACTTGACGGAACTTTTCGTTTACCAACATGGCTCGGATCCGAATGTTTTGAAACACCCGCTACTGAGGAATTTTCCCTGCCGTTTTCCTGCACGCAGAAATCTTTTTCAGAAATAGACTTAACAGCAACAATTTTAAAATCATTTTTCTTTGAAAGAGATTTATTACCCGGCGAAGCAGAAGAGTTTGCGGCATTGGACTTGTTCAGTTTTGTGTTGACCCTGACTTTATGGCTGCTCCCTAAGGTAGACTGTTGTGAGAATGTGGTGCAAGAAGACTGCGCCAGCTCTTCAGTGTTTTGGTACACCACCTCCTCATTAAACTCCATGGGTTCTGTCTTAATGTTCCCCAGCCAGGAGTTGAAAGCTTGCGTATTCAGTGGAGGTATAGAGTGAATAGTTTTATTTTTAAACAAGTCCCCTACATGTCTTCTTTCTGCCAGTAGCATGGCACTCTCTGGGGGGTAGGGCGGATCCAGCAGTCTGCTGACTAGCAGGCACACCTGCTGGTTCTTCTCCTCGCAGTTCACTTTTGTACACGACTTCACCGCATCTTTAAAAAATGCTTTAGCAGATTTAAAGCACAGCCGGAGCGTCCAAGTTCCGATGCAGTGACAACCTATTCCAATATTCTTGAGAATCTCCACTGAAAGTAGACTGACTGAACAATTAGTGTACGACTCATGACAGCCAATTTCTTTCATAAGGTTACTGACTGTTTGATCAATGCCACCAATACCTATTGGCCATGGACTATAACACACATACTCCTTAATCGATGATATTGGACGAACTAAAAAAGGCCCTTCGTTGGCTAGGTACCCATGATAGATTTTAATAATTTTATAAATGCTTCTCGGATTATCCGGGTCGTCGTACCGCTTAACAATTCGTCCGGATTTCGTAACTGAAGGCACATCAATGGCTACGAAATTACCAAGCTCATCCTCGCCAAATGTCACATGATTTGTGGTGAGCAGACGTACAAATTTACCTTGCCATAGCCCAAAGCATTTGATCAGGTAAAAAATAACAGCCTGGAGGAGACCAGAGGAGGAGTCGAGACTTAAATGCTTCTTCTCCCAAAGCAGTTCTTCCTGCTCAGGGGTGATAGGCAAAAACTTAGCCAACGACATGACTGATGTTCAATTTGGGCTTGAAATTAAAGCAGGTTAACATCTGGGATTTGTAATTGTTGACACTTGAATATACATGGTGAAACTAGTTCAAACAAACAAGTTCTGATGCTTGTGGTCTTGTTACATATGTAGCTGAAATACAAAATTAAGGATAAAAATATAAAAAATTTAGAATAGTTTATTAACATTTCATACATGGAGTACATTTTTATGAGTATGATAAAGTTATTAAGGGTGGGGTAAAATACAAGAAGGGTAAACAAACCATCAATCTTAATGAACCCACATTTTTATGAGCGAACCCATTTGCGAATACCACCTTATTTGAAGTATCGACTTCTGATATTTCTAAACCCGCATTTACACTTGCGACGTGTATACTATACATGTCTAGAAAAAACCTTACCTAAGAATAGGCCTACATGTTCTGTGTGAAAAAATGTTTTCAAATGATAATTAGATCTACTTGTTGTGAGTTATTTTCTAGATGTTATAGTGTACATTTTGCAAGTGTAGACACAATGTAATAGTAATATTAAGGCAAGCTAAGGTAATTGAAACTACCGTACTACCACTGGGGTGTCCCCAGTTGACTGAATGCAACTATCACACTATCACTCAACATAGGCCTACTACACTCATAATCTATCTAGATCTAGATCTAAAATGCACATCTAAAAAAAAAAAGCATAAAAAGGTTAAAAAGCATGAAACCAAAAAATGTTTTCCAAAATTACAGGTATGTCTAGATTAGATCTTGATCTATGTCTTGCATTTTCTTCTAGCCTTTTATCACCAGGCCATTTCGAATTATCAAGACCAACATTTGGATTAGTTACCGTACTGTGAACTTGTATTGTTAAACTGAACTGTGTAAAGTTGATATCGTGTGTGGTGATGTTGAGTGAAGTTGTTGTACCTTGTGTGTTGTGAGTTGTACTGACAGTGAGTGGTGCCGTGTTTTCATAAAAATAACTTCATTTTGAATGTTGGTAGATGAGACAGATCTAGACTAATAATAATCTAATATTTTATTGGAACATTTCCTTGTTACTTAATTTACAAAACGTATTTCATTGTAATTTACTTGATTCTAGATCTAGGCCTTGGTTATCATCAACATCGTACATTTCAATATCAAATTTAGTCCATTTTGTGCAGTGTAGACTAGCCTTGTACATTCTTCTTTAAGGAGGTAGGAAATAGTTATATGCTAGACCTACAGTGTAGCAGTAGCCTAGCAGTTTGAAAATTAAAGATAAAAACAACATGGCAGCAGCAGTTAAAAAGAAAAAGCCTTTCTCAATGAAAGTTTTATCAAGAAACCCAGAGAATTATAGAAGAGAGACAAAACTTGATATACATAAAGGTGAGAATTATTTAAATTTGTGTAAATTATAAATTATATTATTGTTCTTGTATTATTAGGACCTCTAAAACTCAAAGAGAATTGGGTAGCCTACCGGGCCCTACCGGGGTAATCTATCGTTTTGGGTACGTAAAATCGCCCGCGGCTAGTAATGTACGAAAAAGTTACCTCATTGTCAAGGCTTTAATAGAAGTATACTGTGATATATTTGTGTCAAATATTATAGATAAATGAATAATAAACCTAAATCAATAGCTAAATATATCAATATAGGCAAGAAATTAACTTTAAACAGCAGTGTTTGCGAGCAGGATTTCCTATATAAACAGCAGCCATTTGTAAAATAGAGTTGCCTTCCCCTGACTCGCGCTATAAGTTAACAAAGAAAGTACTTAAACAAGATGGCTGCTATAGTAAATGAGCATGGTTGCATCTGTTGGAAACATCGCTAGTATTCATTTATTATTGAAAAGTTTTAATTCAATTGTTTAAAAACAGGTACATAAATGAAACAAGGAAACATTTTTGTATTTTTCAAAACATAAATCCTCCTCAAAATGTGCAATAATTATTAAAATTTAAGGAGTCACCTGTTTTTCACATTACAAGTTGCGGGCGATTTTACGTACCCAAAACGATAGATTACCCCTACCGGGTACCGTGCAACGTGCCGTCCACACTCGACACTTGAGTGTGGATGAAGTGAAGTGGTAGTGGACACAAGTGGAGAGACTTCGGAGCACGAAGAGAAAGCGACTCAAACTGATCTAGATCTCTAGATTCTAGAATAGAGACTGAAATAAATTATAAAACTCCACTTTAGCATATTTTATTCCCTGCTTGCCTGCTTCACGTTCATCTCCAGTTGAGCGTATTTTTAACACAACCAAATTGAACCAATTGAACCAAAAACAGACAAAAACATTAGGAAAACACAAGCCTATGAATTTGTGTTTAGTTTTTGATAATTTACTTTACTGTTGAAAATATGTTTGTGTCAGTTAAGAGTTTCATGGCAATGGATAAAGTACAAAACTCATAATTGCAAAGCGGATAAGTTTGTATTGACTTGTTGTTACAAGTATCAAGTATCCTCACGCATGATACTCTATATTAAAAAAAAATAAATATTAAATATTTAGGCTACCTACATTATAATTATAATTGTATGAACTCACAATGACCCCAAAACTGACACCACCACAATGTCAAATACCTATTATCAGAGCTATGAGATAAGTTAAAGTGAATATGAACTCACGATGAACACTCGACCATGTTGGGATAAAACGTGAGCAGGCGAATTTATTGGATCTGTAAGGTTTATTTATAAATCATAATTTATTCAGTTTCCTTCTTATTAAATAAATTTTTGCACACAAGCTCTGCTTTAGCAGCAAAGAAAAAGTAAAAAATACAATACAATTAAATAGTAATAAATAGGCCTAGTATTATTATATTTATTATTATACGTACAAGCAAGCAAAACTAAATTTACAATTTCTGTACCACATCTAGTACTCAAAAAGTCGCAAGTTTAGATCTAATTTTAAAATACCTTTTATACTTTAGGGTCATCCATAAACAATTATTGTACTTTTGTGATGATGGTTGATGAGGAGGAGGGGTTTCGTGAAGAGTGAAAACAAGCTTTTACTTTTGTATTAATATCTAAAATATTACAATTATCAAATACATCCAATCTTTAGAAAAGTTATACTGAAACAACACAATTAAGTTTTTATAACCACATCTACACATGGTTTTTTGAATAATTAAAAGGTTATACAAAAGTTTCCATGTGGGGGTCATTAAAAACCTTAACTAGTCTGAAAAGTTTCTGACACAGCACAGACAATTTTGGACATCTTCCATTTCCTTATAGTCTTACATACAAATAACAATTTTAATAATAAGAAGACTAGCAGACCTCAGTTAGAAGTCGACTGAGGTCACACTGAAAAAAAAATGGGTTAGTGGTAATTTCTGCTCTGTGGCTAGATTTTAAATTTAATAGGCGCTGTCGTTTTTTTTAGAAGCGAGCCCTAGTTCAGATGAAAGCTTAATAGGTGCAGACCTTTGTTGCAAATGAAGGAAACAAGAACTATCACTCTATGTATTTTAATATCCATTAAATTATTTTACTACCTGTATTGTATACACCAAGAAAATTGGAGACACCTTGGGACAGTTGGAGAGACTAGACCAGGACAGAGATACCTGGAAAGAATTTGTTATGTCACAGGAGTAAAGTAAAGTTTCCCTTTCAAACCTGACAGTCTATGGGGCAAGTGAAGTAGAGTTCACCTGTTTCTGTGACCTCGGCATATGAAGAGATTGTGTGGTCAGCACTATGCCCAGCCGCCTTTACTTTCCCTTTCGTGAGTTAGGTACCCATCTGAGTTGGGTGGACTCAGGGACGGTCTGCTGACTTGATCCCGGATTCGACCTCGAGACTTACGGGTTAGCAGTCCAGCTCTCTACCGCTAGACTACTCCGTCCGCTATGTCACAGGAGGAGCGTCAGCCTAACCTATATTGTATCTTCTTTTTTGTAACAGCACCCTTAAATCCTGATGCATACCTGCACCCGTTTGCCATGGATCGGGAGTATCAAAGAGCTTTAAATGCTACTAAGCTTGAGAGGGTTTTTGCCAAGCCTTTCCTGTGTGGATTAGAGGGACACAGAGACAGTGTGGAAGCCCTTGCAAAGTTCCCCACAAGGTTGTCTCATGTTTTGTCTGCAGCCAGTGATGGTGAAGTAAGTTATGGTTTTACATTCTAAAACTAGTGCTAAGAAAGGATAGGCTTTTTTACTGATCCTAACAGTGATTCCAGCCAAAAGATCCAATTTGCTACAAGCACTACTGTATCCATGGATTAAATAAACAAGATTATTGCACATCAGAATTAAACATTTAACCCATTAGAGTACAAATAACAATGTACTAAATGGTATTCAAAATAGAATAATTTTAACTTTTTTCTAATTAGTATTAAATACTTTGTAGTTTTATTTCTGAAAAGTTGTTTAAATGTTTTGCTTTGAACACTTTAATCTATATATATAATTCTCTTCTGGGAGCCGTTAGAAAACAAGCTGCAAGCGCCTCCTTGCAGTCCCCTCTCTTTCTCTCTATCACTATCACTACCACCCCCACCCCACCCCCACATTGTCTGGTGAGCTGTGTTCACTCTAAATGTTTACAAATCGTCGAGCCGTAGAGTCGGGTTTCTATTAGGGGCAGATAATTTAGTTCGATTTTAAACTTACAGGAGGTAACTAAGAAATAACTAAGAGGAGGCTGCTTTCACGGGGGGGGGGTGTAGGGTCGGGGTTAGGGGAAAGGGGGGGGGGGGGGTTAGTGTTTTAAAGCAAATATTTTCAGTGGCAGCATTGGTACTGTCGAATTCACAAATTATGAATTACTGAAAAGTAGAAAAATAAAACAACTAAATAGTGGCGTATGATACGCTGCGGGTCGGCTCGTACATTTTAATTTGCCACATCCAAAGATAAAATGTGTTTCTCTATTTAGGGATTTAAAAAAAATATTTATTACTCAACTGTCTTGTAAATATTTTTTAATGTGTGCTTAGCTTACAAATTGGTCTCACTTGCAGATTCGTTTGTGGGACTTGGCTAGTAAAACATGTGTGAGTAGTGTTGTTGCTCACAGTGGGATAGTACGCAGCTTGTGTGCACACAAATCTGGAGAGCGTTTCTTGTCTGTAAGTAGATTATTTGGTTATTTTCTTTAAAAGCTTGCATATCTGTTGTTGTAACATAGTATTTGTAGAAGCAAACGAGTTGATTAACAGCTTGTGCTTGTATCAATGTTAAAAAAAAATTAAAAAAAAATAAAATAAAATATTCTTATAAAATAATTTTTTCAAATTGAATCCATTACTTTTATTTAACTACATGCACAATAGGTTAACATAGTAATTTCCATTTCTTAAACGTAAGTTAGTTTTCTTTAAAAAATAAATAGTAAACATATTTATTTAATTTTGTTTTAGTGTGGACAAGATGCCAATATAAAGTTCTGGGCGTGTTCTGAAGAGGGGATCATAAACCCTGATCCAGTGAGAACAATACTAAACAAAGTGAGCTTACATTAATGTATTGTCTAAATCAGGGAAATAAAAATGTAACTTACAGCTCAGCAGTCATGCCTTCAACCGTTGAACTTTGCTGTCTGGAAGCTTTTAGTTTTTACCGTAATGTTCACATGCTTCCGAAAACCTGTATTTGTTATAAGTTTTGTATTTTTTTTTTAGAATGTGTACCAGAGTATTGACCACCATGAGAAGGAGGACATCTTTGTTACATGTGGTCAGTCCCTGGATGTATGGGCAGGGGATAGAGCACAGCCATTCCAGTCTTATACATGGGGCTTAGACAGTATGCACCATGTCAAGTTTAATAGAATAGAGGTAAAGTATGGGGCTTCAGTATGCACCATGTCAAGTTTAATAGAATAGAGGTAAAGTATGGGGCTTAGTATGTACTACGTCAAGTTTAATAGAATAGAGGTAAAGTATGGGGCTTAGACAGTATGCACCATGTCAAGTTTAATAGAATAGAGGTAAAGTATGGGGCTTCAGTATGCACCATGTCAAGTTTAATAGAATAGAGGTAAAGTATGGGGCTTAGACAGTATGCACCATGTCAAGTTTAATAGAATAGAGGTAAAGTATTGGGTTTAGACAGTATGCATCATGTCAAGTTTAATAAAATAGAGGTAAAGTATTGGGTTTAGGCAGTATGCATCATGTCAAGTTTAATAAAATAGAGGTAAAGTATTGGGTTTAGATAGAGTGCATCTCATGAAGTTTAATATGGCTAGGAAAATATGAGCTACATTGTTTCATTCAAGAAGGGTAAAATGCTATATTTTGTCATAAGGATCATCCTTTTCCCATTACATCATTATTTAACTTATTGTATTGGTAAATGGTAGCGTACTAGTCAGATATCTTATCTAAAAAGTATCTTTGGTTCTAGACCAACTATGTTTATTTTCAATTTTCGCAACAGTTTTACTTATACTTTAATATAAAAAGTTAAAATCCGTTTAAAGCACTTTAAATAATTTATCACATTTTAAAATTAGGGGTTTTCAATAAACTTAAAGCTCCCCTTCCTCTGTTGTTGATGAGCACTACATTCAATCAATATGGTCTGGAGCTGCCTGATTACATTAATTATTGCATTGATCACTTAAATATTTTGCAATGTTACCACATAGAAATTACTTAAATGAAGTTTTGATATTGCACCTGTAAGTAGAAAGTGTTTAATGTATGTTTATTTAATTTTTTTTTTAATAAAGGATTTTGTAAACAGTTTTATTATATAGTTTTTATTATTTCAGATGATTTATTTAATTTTATATCTTAATTTATTTTGTCAATATAGACACATCTGATAGCAGTTGCTGCTGATGACAGAAGTATAATGTTGTATGACACAAGGGGAGGCTCAGGTGTACAGAAGGTTTGTTTCATATATTTTTCAGTGTACATTTTTGTGTCAAGTTTTTTAAAATATGGTTTGATGTGTTGCTAAATGATAGAAGAGGCAAAGGCTGCTGGGGCTCATGTGGGCTCAGATAAGGAGAGATGCCCAAAACCAAGTCAGGTGGAGAGGTTTGGCTGCAGCTGTTTTGCTCCCCATTGGCCACCAAAGAATAAGAGCTGCTAATCTCATTAACATGACAAGTTTTTATGGGTTTATTTTTTAATGCTGCCACAAAAATGTTGTTGGTCATAGTCATTAGACACTCTTTTGTAACGCATTTTTTTCTGATATTATAACTAACAATATTTTACATGCCAAAGGCTAAAAAAATGTAATGAAAGCACTAAATTAGCTCATAATTTTAACTGAGTTACATGTCACCATTTAAGCTTTACTCAAAGCAATAGTCTAAAACTGATGGTGTATTTTTTTTTATTAAATGCAACCTTTATTGTAAGTATAAGATCAGTTTCTGTATAGTTTGTGCCATTTTGTTTCATCAATGATAATTAGCTAATAACCTTTTTTTCCCTTACAGCTGATCATGAGGATGAAAACCAATGCTATCAGCTGGAACCCAATGCAAGCTTTTGTATTTACAGCAGCATGTGATGATTATAAGTAGGTGGATGCATTAATCTTAGGTTTTATATGATTATAAGTAGGTGCAGGCAATAATCTTTGGTTTTATATGATTATAATCAGGTTTTATATGATTATAAGTAGGTGGATGCATTAATCTTAGGTTTTATATGATTATACATAGGTGGATGCAATAATCTTTGGTTTTATATGATTATAATCAGGTTTTATATGATTATAAGTAGGTGGATGCATTAATCTTAGGTTTTATATGATTATAATCAGGTTTTATATGATTATAAGTAGGTGGATGCAATAATCTTAGGTTTTATATGATTATAAGTAGGTGGATGCAATAATCAGGTTTTATATGATTATAAGTAGGTGGATGCAATAATCTTTGGTTTTATATGATCATACATAGGTGGATGCAATAATCTTAGGTCTTTCATGATTATTAGAAGGTGTAAGCAATAATCTTAGGTTTTATATGATTATAATCAGGTTTTATATGATTATAAGTAGGTGGATGCAATAATCTTAGGTTTTATATGGTTATAAGTAGGTGGATGCATTAATCTTAGGTTTTATATGATTATAATCAGGTTTTATATGATTATAAGTAGGTGGATGCAATAATCTTAGGTTTTACATGATTATAAGTAGGTGGATGCAATAATCTTTGGTTTTATATGATCATACATAGGTGGATGCAATAATCTTAGGTCTTTCATGATTATTAGAAGGTGTAAGCAATAAACTTAGGTTTTATATGATTATAAGTAGGTGGATGCAATAATCTTTGGTTTTATATGATTATTAATAGGTGCGGTCGATAATCTTAGATTTTATATGATTATAAGCAGGTCAAGTAAAAAATCTTAGGCTTTATTATTATAATTAGGTACAGGTTATAACTTATTTTTCATGTTATTGTTATGACTATAAACAATGCTCGTGGTATCATTTATTTTTGCAAAGATTGTTAATTAAAATTTTCTTGTGTCTGACTTTAAAATTAACTTTCTTTACAGTTTATACACATACGACATAAGGAATCTTACTATAGCTTCCAACAAGCATGAAGATCACATAGCAGCAGGTGATTGCCACTGTGTATAGATTCTAAGCTATAAGAAACAAGTTTTATGTTTAAGCCCACATGTTCTAATTATTTGATGAGCCATTTCTTATACTAAAATAAAAAATCTTTACATTTTAGTGATGGATGTGGACTACGCACCGACTGGAAAAGAATTTGCGACAGCCGGTTACGACAGATCTGTTAGGATATTCAATGTAGCTGAAGGCCATAGCAGGTGAAAATTGCTGTTCTAGCTTTAGATTTTCTTTTCTTGTTTGCTTTAGTTCTGCTAATACTAGATCTATAATGGGGTGGGATGGTTTAGGGTGGTAGAGCGTACAACTGCTGAACTGAATACTTGAGTTTGGTAACTGGATTAGAGTCTTTAGGACATCCCTGAGTCTTCCCAACCTAACTCGGAAAGCCAGATGGATATAGAGCTGACAACACTATTTCTTTATTTGCTGAGGTCATTCAAACAGAACTCTACTTCATCTGCCCTGTTGCCTTTCAATTTTGAATGGGTTACTTTGCTTTTATTGAGATACTGGCTGCTGTTATTTAAGAACCCAAATTTCAATGTTGGGTTATGTATTAGGCCAACTCTCTATGCACTGTAATGTGTAGTTCAAGAAACTGGTGCTGGTAAAATTGATTTGTTTGTTGTCAGGGTAATTTTGGTAATTTATGAATATATATGGAACAACATGGACAGATATTAGAATGCGTTACTGCCACTAGTAAAGCTTCGAGTTCAGATTCCGGTTCTGAGTCTGTAAAAAGTCCATGATTTCATTGAGCTCAGATGGTACCTGACAAAAATTAGGGAGAGTAAAGGCTTGTGGGCATAGTACTAGCCACACTATCACTTCATATGCAGAGGTCACACTCAGATAAACTCTGCCCTGGCTACCTCTATATCTGGATGGGTAACTGAGCTTTTAACTTTTTATTAAAACATATATATCTATATATTTCTAGAGATGTGTATACAACAAAACGGATGCAGCGAGTTAACCACATCCTGTGGTCTATGGATAACAAGTATATTTTATCTGGATCTGATGAGATGAATGTTCGTCTGTGGAAGGCCAGAGCTTCAGAGAAATTAGGATTGGTGAGTAGTTGCTTGTACCCGCGCAGTACTCATAGATTTAAATTATATAGGACGTCAGTTTAGCCGAGTTCTCTTGTTATGACTGTGTCATGGTGGTTTCTGTTAGTTAACCCTGTGTTGTATTCTTTTTGTTAAAAGTATTTTATGTTTTTACCTTTTAATTGACCAAAAAATATTTAGCATATCTAAAATTAAGAAAGTTAAAAAGTTGATATTTAAAAAGGAAAAAGTAAATTATTAAGCAGGAAACAGAATGCAGTTTAAAATTATGTTAGTTTTTATAGCTAGACCTATAAGACAGCAGACAAAATTTGAAAATATGTATTTGAAATATACTATAATGACCAGTTTTATTTTGTAACTAAAACTGAGAGAATAAGCGGCCTTGATGCACTAGAAACATACTTAAAAAATGACTATTTTTAACTTTTAATTCTGCAGCTGAAACCAAGAGAAAAGACAGCAATGAACACAGCAGAGACCCTGAAGAAAACATTCAAAGACTTCCCAGAGATCAAACGTATTGCCAGACACAGGCACCTGCCCAAGCTGATCTTTCAACAAAAGAAAGAGCTCAGAGAAATCAAAGAAGCACAGAAGAAAAAGTAAGATTTTATCCTCACCTATATTTTTTTATAAAATTGTCTTCAGTTTGTCTCCTTACATACGCTAATTATTTGATTCTTAAACAGTATTTGGTTTTTTTATCGATCTCACAAATATTTTATTTTATTCTTTACGTTTTTAAAACTCTAACAAATACACAGGTTATTTAAGTTTTAAACAATATTTTTTTGAAGGACCTAATGTAAACTATAGCACATTCATCTATACAAAATAGTTTTCAAATATATCTCCTAAAATTTTCGTTTAATAAGTAGTATTCAAACCGCTCTGTATTTTCATAAATTCTGAAATAAATAAACTGACTTTTAATTTTCTATTTAATCAATTTTATGATTTTTAAAGTATTATATTTTTATATTCTTATAGTAATAGTGTTATTTTACTTTTATAAATATTTAAAATCTTTACTAGTTGCAATGCTGATTCTAGCTTAAATTTTCCTATGTAGAACAGAATCTTAATCTTATTGATTTGTTTCCCTTAGAGAGAGCAACAGAAGGTTTCACAGCAAACCTGGTGCTGTCCCCTTTGTACCAGAGCGCAAGAGACAGATTGTGGAGGTCAAGGAATAGTGTGTGTTGTGTGTATATGTACAATTGGTTGGTGTGGGAGGTGGATGTGTGTGTGTGTGTGTGTACATGTGATAACATTGTTTGTGTCATCATTAAAATTTTAACTCATGATAATTGTGTTCATTTTTTTATGTTGAAAAAGGTTACTATAACGTATTAATAAACAATAAGCCTGGTTGGGAGTGAGAGCTCATGGTTGCTAGGACCACAAGTCCCGAGTTCAGACCCCAGGCAGATGAGGCTTGTTAGCTGGGGACAGCAACCCATCTAAGAGAGAAAACAAACATCCAACAGCTGCTGCCTTGCTGATTTTTCTTGGGTGGACTAAGGCTATGGGAGCTTAGGTCAGAATCATCCCACCATATGGTGCTGGTAGAAATCCCCTCCAAAGTATGAAAAACAAAAAAAAGAAGTAATGAAACAATAAATAAAACATTTTCCTTTATAAGTTATATGGAGGGTATAAACAAAACAACATGAAATACAATTCATTTTAAATGACAATATTTACTTGAAATGTGACATAAACAAGACATTTGACCTAAGGGGGTGTTACCTCTTTAACAAGTTTATACACTGTGTTATCTTGGATTGCCAGAACATTGTGTATATTCCTGGTGAACTGACAGGAATGATGCTGTTATTGAAAATTTAAGTCCTATTTGGCAGCTTTTTAGTTTTGTCCTGGACTGGCTGAATACTCCTGGCTACCTCTGTACATTATCTTTGTTTACTGTTCAAAATCTGATTTCAAGTCAGATTATCTTTATAATAGACTAGTGGCTAATATTTAAAAAAAAAATTTCTATCAAGAAATTATCAAACTCAGCAAGGTAGTTTATTACAAATATTGATGTCAACACTTGTTAGTTCAGTGTTCAAATAATTTTTGTAGTTAATATTCTGATAAGCGTTTGTTAATATTTTGAGAGGAAGGGTTTTTTCCTATTGTGAAATAAAGAATGACATTTTAAAAAGTCAGTGGATTCACTGAATAATAGTCACTTCAAATGTTGCTAAATGTGAAACTGCAATCTTTTATATATGGAAGCAACAGTTAGGAATAAGTTTCAATAAGTGAGGTAATACAAAAAATAATTATCAATCCAATAGTTTTGATTAAACACCTCTACAGTTAGCCGTACTCCGTACTCTGAGTTTTTAATGACCTAGCTTTTTTTGTAGTGGGAATTGCAGGAATTTACTATTTTAGAACTTTGTGTAGAAGACTCCAAACTATAGAGCTATTTTCTTAGGTTTAAAAAATGACAAGCTGTAAGATTTAAATGGATGTCCATTACAAAGGATCACATTAATGGGCCACAATATATATACATATATATATATACATATATTATATATATATATATATATATATATATATATATATATATATATATATATATATATATATATATATATATATATATATATATATACATATTTATATATGTATATATATATATATACATTTATATATGTATATATATGTATATACATATCTATATATGTATATATATATATATATATATATATATATATACACATACATAAAATATGTGTAAAAATCTCCATCCTATCAAAATATGGCTACCTTTTTAATTATAAATAGATGGCCATCATAAGCATAAATTAAATTAACATATAAACATAGGCATATCACAATTCATAATCTGGAATTCATGAAATACAATTTCTGGACTTTGTACAGTTTTTTCACAGCTTTATATATCTGGATGTCGAATGACAGAGCAGCTAAAACTCGCTCATCGTTGACAAGTTTGTTATAAGCTTCATCCCATGCTGTATTTGTCTTCAGTCTCCTTGCCTTGTATGACAGAATATGCTGTGTAAAAATATCATCTAGACTAGAAATATCATCTATTGCACGTTCATCCTCATAATCTTCTTCAAATGTTAATGAACTGTCGTTAGAATTTAAATCTTCAAAATAAGAATTTTCAGGAATATCAACATTGTCTTCAAGAAAGGTGTTTTTATCGTTTTTATTATTATTATCACTGGTGTTGATAATATCAATGATATCATAGTCTGATAGTAAAGTGCTGTCACTATCAGGGGTAGGAATACTTTTTGGTTCTTGTACATTTTGTTTGGCTACGTCTGCTTCTAACCGGCTCAAAGATTCCAGCAAGGATACTTCACTTCTGCTTGAATTCAGTAAAGACTGAAGTGAGAGGTCAGTTGTGGTGTAGCCAAAAGTGTTTTGGTCTGTTTCTGATTTAACTTTTGCTTTCATATTTTTAAAAACGTGTTGATCAAAAGATGTATCGTCAAAATGGGAAAGAAATTCGCATTCGTGAAGTGGTAATCTAAAAACATGATTCAGCATGTATAAGGAATGATTCAAATCTTCGTAAACTCCAACAAGGGCGAACCATGTCTGGAGATGGTTTAAGATGTAGTTTAATAAATACTTCAACATTTTTGGCTCGAGACTTTGTAAGTGTTGGTGGAGGTTCCTCTCACATACATCGTGAAGTGGAAGGTGTCCTTTAGAAATATTGTTTAATGCAGTGCTGGGCTTACTGCAGATTCCAGAATGAAAAACCAGGCTCTTGAAAACAACGCTGCCACGTAGGATAACCCAGTCTTCGAACGTTGTACCTGGCTTATGAGCCATCTGGCATAAAAAATTATCACCAGGCTCCATCAAACAAGTTCCGTAATGGGCGATGGCTAATAGAAAAGGATCTTGCATGATAAGAACTTGACCGTTGACCGTAGCAGGTTTTTCAACAGAAATACTCCTGGGTTCTTCACAAACGGGCGACTGGCATATCCCAAAAGCAGCGTGTCCGTAATGAATTTTAAACTTATGTTTGAATTTATAAAGACCTTCGTTGACAGTATCCCATGTATGTCTATTCCCGAATGTCATTTCCGGTGAAACGGCTTGGTGGTGTTTTGCTCCGGCTCCGCGAAGACATTTACTGAAATTCCCGCCGTGGTCCTGAAAGTAGGTCAACACGCTTATCGAGCTATGCGTGTACCGTTGGTGGTATTTTTCCGATACGAAATGACCGTGTGTGAAATAGTTTTCAAGGACGTGGAGTTGAAGCATCCAGGGGAAGTGTGTTGACACAAACTGCTCCATCTCCTTCCGGTTCATGGCGTCGCTGGCCTGTCTCGTCTGCTGCTCGCGCTGGAGTTTTTTCAAAATGGCGCTCAAATCATGTTCCTTCCTGGATGAGAAACAAGAGAGAGAATATGAGAGTTTTGTTTGGAAATGATAGCTTTAATGTACTGTAAGGCACTAAGCTAAAAAGTGTTTCTTTCATTTTTTTTATCCGCGGGAAGGGGGTGGGGGCAAAACTTTTGTTTTGAGAGGGGCACTTGAAACTTTTTTTAGGGGTGGGGTACTTTTTTGGAGGGAGGGGGGGGGGGCTAAATTTTCCATGGGGTGGGGGTGGACGGACGGTAGAAGTATATTTTCTATGTAAATTAAATTTCACTTATTGGAGGGGGGGGGGGGGGTGATGGGGGAAAATAGTGAAATATGAAGCGTTTATTTTATCACATCGTATTACCTGTGTTTGAAAAAAATAAAATAAAAAATATTTTGTACATAACCAAGCGCTTGTTAACTCACTCTAGTTACATAAAAGCCACATGGCCAAAATAAAAACATAAACACATCGCATGCATTTTTTTAAAACATTAATTATTTTTGCAATGTTTTGCTTCACACAGCTGTCAAGGGAAAAGTGGCATACATTTGGAAAAAAAAATTATTGGCTAGGACATTACAACACCAGCGTGGGAGGAATGGGGGGGGGGGGGGGGAAAGTGGGGTGGGGGGCGTTGGTTGTAACTGTGAAGGTAAAACACGACATGTTAATAATGTTGGTAGAAGTGGGGTGGGAGTGGGGTTGTATTCACAAATATAACACGACCTGTTTATAAACGTCTTCAGATGATTAGGGATAGTCTTTCACGTAATTGGCTTTATTTAACAGAGTCACTCCAAGCGAAAAAAAAAACAAACGTTTCAGATGGAGTTACTGAACTTTGGTGTTTATGTTAGATTAGCCTCCCTTTGACTGTGTGGCAGAAATTGCTAGTAGTTTTAAGTATAAACATGGGTGCATACATTATAATATTTTATAAATTAAACCAACTCTTAACATACATAACGTTAAATAACATTTTCATTTACCACAACCCACGCTAGTATATAATGTCTAGGGAACCTCGCACCCGATCACCCGCACCCCTCCATACACATAGGCCACCCCTTTACCCAATTCGTGTTATAAATATATGCCCAAAATCATTAAAAAGTAAAGGACAAACTTTAATTATTTTAATCACTTACAGGATAATTATTTTGAGTTAATTACAAAGTTACATTTATTTGTGACGTTTTTAGTAGATTTTTAAAAATCATGATTTTTCATTTTCACAAATCAGCCGGAATACATTCAAGACATACGAACAAGCCTGAAAAAACACATCACGGCAAATACCCTCCACTAACACACAACGCTAACTGGCAAACACACACTACTAGCCGGCAAACACACACCACTAACCGGCAAACACACACCACTAACACACACCACTAACCGGCAAACACACACCTCTAACACCCACTACTAGCTGGAAAACACACACCACTTACAGGCAATCACACACCACTAACCGGCAAACACACACCACAAACCGGCAATCACACACCACTAACCGGCAAACACACACCACATACGAATCTGCCAGACCAGATTTTCACGTTCCAGGTAGCTTGTTATTCTTTTTTTTATGGGTGGCGGGGAGGGGTGGGAGGTTAAAGGGGGTGGGGGAGGAATCAGGAATATCTTCTGGCAGTGACAGGCGTCAGGAAAGTGTCAAGATCAATTAACGTAGGAGGGTGTGGAGGGGGGGGGGGGTGAGGGCAGAAGATAAGATACAACGAATACTGGAACACGAAGTGCCAGCTATTTCTACTGTGGTGGGTCAAAGAAAAGAAAAAAAATAAAGATGGCACTTTCGTTAAACATATCTAGATCTAGAATTTTTTTTTCTAACAAAGTTGGCTATATTTAGCTTTAATAGGGTCATGCTTTACAAAGACACGTGCAATGCGCTCAATAGGCGAGCAAGCTTTTATTTGTGCATTAATAAGAAGGAAATTTTATCTTTAGGAATAGTAATGCATCACTATTTATATAATTATGAATAAAAACGTGGTTCATTCATAAAAACTTGGCAAGAGTAGGCTAATCAGAAAACAAATAACTTCCAACCTTTATTCACACTAGAACAGGGGTCGGCAACCCTTTGAGACTGAAGAGCCAAAAGTTATAATCTACAAAACTTTCCCATTTTTAAAGAGCCACTAACTTTTTTTGAGAAACCAAGGTCATCCTGATAGGCATCATCCTCTATCTGACCAAAGTTCATTCTGTCGGCTTGCTTTCTTAACTCTGTCAGACCTAATCTCTCCTTCATTTTTCTTGCTCGTCTAACACCACGCTTTTTCTTAGACTGTTCAATGGGAGCAGGAAGAGGTTTTGAAAATTTGACAGGAGGCGGCTCTGTCATCTTGTCCATTTGAGTATCAAGTTCAGCTCTAAATCTGTCACCTGCTGCTCCGTCAACGCTTTCATGAAAACTGTCCTCTCTTGCAGCTAATGTACTTTTAGCCGCAATCGCCCTAGCGGTTTTTCTTCTCATTTCTGGTTGCATTTTCTGAACAAGGTCACTGTAATAGATGAAACCAGTGTTTCTTCCAGACTTTTTTCAACGGGGGGGGGGGGGGGGGGGGGGGGGGCACTTGAAATTTTCGGGGGGGGGCGGTAAATTTTCTTCGGGGGGGGGGGGGCGGACACTGTTAAAAGTATATATTTTCTATATAAATTATATGAATTTCATTTCGTTCGGGGGGGGGGGGGGGGGGGGCGGTAAAATTTTTTCGAAGAGATGCCTGGAAGAAACTCTGGATGAAACCAGTGTGTGGTAGAATGTTTGTGCTAGAGAAACTAGCAAGTGTCTTTTTCTGACTCCCTAACAGCATGACATTACATGCTGGCATCTTTGAAAGATTAGTAAGCCCACCAGCTGTTCCCATCAGTTTAGCAGCTATTGATGCGCCTTATATTATAGACAGATTAGGGGCAATAAATGTCATTCTTGACTCAACATATTCAAATATTTTTGTTTTACTTTTGTTTAATTCAATAGCCATGTCACAGCTTTCCATTACAGATGCTAAATCCTTCTCTGATAACTCGGTTCCTTGTGTTGTGGATGCGGTACCACTTACCACCATTATTGTGGCTGGAGTTAACATTTCTTGAAGAATTTCATTATTCTTTGATCGTTCAAGACAGAATGTTGTTTTTAAGTTCTTTCACTGTACAGATATATTCAAGAGGCATTGGTACTAATGATTCTAATTCTGGAAATCGTTTGGAATAAATATCTTTCGCAAACTGGTGAATAACATTAATCTCATTGTCTATTTCAACTGTCATGTTAATGGCATCAACAATCAGCTTGTATTCAGGGTCAACCTCTACTGGTCCAGCTATTGCACTTCTTTTTGGCTTGGCTGAGTACTCTTCTATGTCTTGAAGAATTTTTGCTAGTTCTTTACTATCTTTCAGTTTTGCAACACTGCGAACATTGGAACCAGCGACTTGGCGATCGCTGTACATGCCGATATCATCAACAACGTCGTTAATTTATTCCTCATCATCTTCGTCGATAGTTTCTAATTCTTCACCTCCCTCTTCTAAATCGGCTAAAAGCTCATCAGCTAGAGACATTGTTATGCTTTGTTTTTAATTAGATTAAAATCATAAATGTATCCATCAAAATCGTGCAGTGATAATCATAACACAGTCGTAACTTGGTCGTAAGCGTTGTAATCATGTATCTAATTAAAAATTGCATAATCTGAAATGTAAGACCGATATTTTAGTAATATGTAGGCTATCATTCCGAAAGTTTTTTTTTTTTTTTTTTTTTTTTTTTTTTTTTTTTTTTTTGATATTTGAAAAAAGTTTATTACATTACAATATTAATTAAGCAAACTAAACATCTTTTTGCCCTCTTTCTTTTCTTTGGATATGATTTATATGTAAGATATTTGTATTATTTTAATTGTATTTTAAACATAGATGCATCAAAAACATTGCATTTTTATGGCAAAATAATTGCAAATTATGTGACCTTTCATTTTAAAGAAACAAAATTATGTTTTGAAGTTCTAAATAATTAAATTCAGTTAGATCAGGGGTCGGCAACCTGCGGCTCGCGAGCCGCATGCGGCTCTTTTGCGGTCAAGATGCGGCTCTCCAGCCCCTTGCACAAATATTAATAGTTGTATTATTTCATTTTCAAAACTCATATCAAACATATAATGTAAAAAAATCAACTTTAAACAGAATTAAAACACTTATCAGAGAACATTGAGAATATATGCAGTAGAAAGTATACGGACAGCTGACAGCCGCTTGGGCACCAGGCCCAGCCCCACAGCCCCGTGGCAACAATTACATGCTTACCACTGCCCTAGTGCCGACTTTTTCGAATATTATTTTATTCAGAATGCATTCCCATATGTGTCAGTAATCATAAATTTGACGAGAGCGACGTAGTTATTTTTTAGTTATAATCTTCCTACTGTTGAACCGGGTACTAGACTATGTGGTATGAGTTAACCCTGCGTTCATTGGTGTGGAAGATAAGCCTGGTGAGAACCAAAGGACAAGCGACCGATACACGGTTAACGAACATATATTCAAGCTAGTTAGTGGAAGTTAGCCCGTGTTGAGGCCTGCCTGGCTAATGGCAGACACCTCCTGAGCCGGTGATATCCGTAAAGAAGGAAAAAAGTTAACAGCTTCTAAAGTGGATTGGGATAGTCATATAGTTATATTATTTGATTACTAAGTTTATTATTCTGGCAAAACAAGGGAATGTTTTTATAAGAATACATATTATTTCAATTTTTAAAACTTAAAAAACTTAAAACTTTAAAATTTAAATAAATCACATTTATTTACTTAGTCCTAATCAAATAATAAAATATTAAACTAAAAATGTTAGTGGCTCTTTAAAAACTGGGAAATTCTGAAAATTGTGACTTTTGGCTCTTCCGTCTCAAAAGGTTGCCGACCCCTGAGTTAGATAATTAAGAAATGTTGTTTTTTTTTTTATATTAAGAAAAATTGTGTAGCTACTTATCAAATATTC